ACAATATGATTACATAATTTTATCGTAAAATATGTAATAGTAGTTGTAAAATGCTTAGTAATGCATTGTTTTTCTATTGATTAACATATTAGTACAATAATTCTTTACTATTAATGTTCATCAATAGTTATTTTTATAAAAAAAACTTACTTAAAAATAAAAGAAAAAATAATAATTTAATAAATAAAAAATATGTATTTTCTAAATAATACTAGTTATCAATAATTTTTTGTAGCATATTTTTAATAAATTTTTATTACGAAAAATTATATAATCACTAATATACAAAGTTTTCTAAATTAAATTTTATAAGAAAAAAAGTTAATAAAATCATTGTATATAAAAAATATTAATAAATCAATAAATATAGCAAAACTATTTTTTTTTAAAATAARTAAAATAATATTAAAAAATTGTTTGGCAAACATATGGTAAAAAAAGATGTAAAAGATATCGACAAAAGTAAAGAATTTATTACAAGAATTTCAGACGTTTTTTGCAAATGAGAGCAAAAGAATCCAATGAATCGAATGTCAAGAAATTTATTGAAGAAATATAAATACAATTCTCTATACAATATCCAAATGAACTCACATTTTACAATACAATATATTTATATAAATATATATATAATTTTATTTCTCATTTTGTTTTCATCAGACAAATAGTATCCGAAAAAAATTGATTAAGTATTTGATATTCAATGCAATACTTGAAAGTCTATTGTATTTTCAATTAAAGTAAGACAAGAAATTGAGAAGTCATACTCAAATATAACTATACATTTTTGGCTTTCCTTATATAATAATGATGTGATGCCTCACATTAAATGTTAAGACTATGAACAGTAAATACAAAAATATATTTTCAATTATATCTTTCGTATAAAATAAGTGGTAAAAAAAGTTTTCAATAAGAGACCTAAATTGCCATTAAAGCTATTGACTTATACTTCATATTTTATAGTTGACTATTGAATAGTTTAAGTGGTTCACATTTTTAGTAATAGACTGTAATATTGTACTGTCCTTTTATAGATCCCTCAGCTCAATGAAAGCTAAAAATAGATTTCAAAAACTTTTGATAAAACAATTTTGTCAATCATAATAATATACTAATAATTTAATAGAAATGTATTCAAATTTTAAATATAATTAAAAATTATAATTAATTTAATTTATATATATATTTTTGTAATTTATAAATAATAAATATAAATATGTTTTATTTTTTGAACTATTTTAATACAAATTTGGCTATTATTTAAACAATAAATCACATATTAAAGCAATTTAGATAAAAGCATTATTTTGTTTCTTAAAGATATTGGTTTCAATTAAGAGAACAAGTGATTCAAGTTTGCAGAATAAAACAAATTAATAATTTTATTATAAGATTATTTTTATTAAATAAAAAAAAATATATATATAGATAATCATAATAGAAGTAACAAACTTGGAGGCCATCAAAATAATAAGTAAAATTATAAGCATAAAGATTGCGGAATAAAAAATAAGAAAAAATACAAAACAAAATAAATATAAGGGAAATAAAACAAAAACATTTTCTCAATACTTTTATGAATTATTGGCAAATCAGTGGAGTTTAATAGCAGAGAATTTATTGCAGAACTGATTCTATTATTATTATTATTATTATTATAGTATATATCAAACAAAAATATAATATCAAAAATTTCTGTAAAGATAAACACAAGTTTGGAATCGCGATGAAAGTTAACTGATCTCTCAGTTTTGCTCATTATTTTTTTCAACTTTTTTATTGTACTCTAAGTTTGCAGTCTCTCTCTCTCTCTCTCTCTCTCTCTCACACACACACTCTTTTTCACTCACTCACTCACTCTCATTCATTGATCACTCACTAAAATATATATTAAAATGGGTTATTTCAATGATATATAAAACAGAGAAAAGTAAGTAAAAAATAAACGAAAATGTTTTCTTCAATTCTCGACTTTTAATATAACATAAATAATATATAGAAAAATATTACAATTTTGAACAAAGAATTTCAATTTCAAATATTATTATTATTTTATTATTATTCAATTGTCACTCATTCTCTGTCTTTACATATCTTTATTAAATTATGAAAAAATATTTTGCATATAAGATATATTTTAAACTATATTTACAAACATATACACCAACATTACATAGAGTACAAAAAAACAAATTGAAAAATTAATTATTTTATTGTCTAAAATTGAATAAAGTTGTTTGTTTATAAAATTATATCAAAAATATAATATCTATTATAAACTTCTAACTAATTCAATATTTTTAATGTATTTAAATTCAACTATTAATATAATATCAAATAATAATTATCTATTTATAAATATAAAATTATGAATTACTAAAGTGTATAAAAATAAGATTTAATTATAAAATGTTTATAAATAACTATTTTTATTATATTTTAAAATAAATATCTTATAAAAAAATCAATCAAATGAAATAACTCAACTTTATTTGATATATCATTAATTCAAATATCAAATGATTGAATTACATATACGTTTATTACTTAATAGCTAATAAATAAGATATTTCAAGTATTATACAATATATTCAAATATAATCTTATTTATAATATTTTCTTATATTAATATAAATATACATATTTTATAATTAAATGTTAAATCATATCAAACCAATATATTGAACAGAAACAGAAATATATAATATTAACTACAGTACAGTATAACTGAATTAATAATATATTAACTAATTTTCATACAATATTTACAGTAGTAGTGAAATTGTATTGAAAGTGAAATTGTGTTAATGTTATAAAATAGAGAAAAAGTGATATAAATTATAGTATAGTGTATACTCTTTATACTTTTAAGTTGTAAAAGTGTGTTATATTTACTATATGTGCTATTAATGAACAATTTTTTTTATCAAATAAGTGTCATTCAAATGTTTTTGTGAAAAATTGTTATGAAGTGTTGTCTGCTTTTTTGTGTTGTTTTGTCACTACTTATTCAAGTTTGCACTAAAAGCCAACACAAAACACAATATCCCAAATCAAATGACAGTCCATTCCCTAACCATAAGACGACTAACACTTTCATCTCATTTCTTGTAAGTGAATGCCTGTTCTCTACACTCAAACATAAGTTATACTAAAAACACATACAAACAAACAAAAGGCCCCAAAGAGTAGTAAATCAGTGCCTTTTGATGGCTGTCTCTAACATATCTGACTAATACTAATAATGGGAGTTCTGATACTCTATTGGGTTACAAACGGCTATTGCATTAACAAAATTGAAACAAAAAAGTCGACCACAAGTGAAAAGCAGAGACAKAGAGAGAGAGAGAGAGAGAGAGAGAGAGAGAGAGAGAGAGAGAGAGAGAGAGAGAGAGAGAGAGAGAGAGAGAGAGAGAGAGAGAGAGAGAGAGAGAGAGATGTTTAGTATATTGAAAGTGTCTCTCTTATTGTCGTTTTGTTTAGTTTAATCACCACTTGAAATATTGTGCAAAACAGTAGGAATCGGTTTCAATAATTAAATTTGTTTGTGATTTACAGCACTTTTTTAGTATAAATGCATTGCATTTACAGAGTCGACGACTTATTCTTCTTTCTAATCACTTGTTTAGGGACTTTCACTTCAAACACTCAAACACCCAGAGATTGAGATATCGATTCCCAGTCTATTGGCTCTTATAATAAAAATACAATTGAGAAATAGCGGCAAACATAAGGATAAACTTAATGCTTAACACATACACACATTTGTTTGCAATTTTTTAAATAACAAAAAAAATGTTGTAATATTATTTTAACAATAATGTTACAATATAAAAACAATAATCATAATATGCAATACCATATATGGAGATAAACTTTATATATACTGTATAATAACTATTTTAATTTATTAAATTATTAAATTATTAAAATTATTATTTTAATCTATGCTTATTTGTTGAATAATTGATTAATATATTTTTTAAACACTTTTTAATCAGAATTTCAAACAATATATTGGATAAAATATCAATTTCTATCTTATGATGTTTCATAAAATAAATAAATAAAAATCAATAAATAATAACAACATTGAGTGATAGTGTGATAGAGAAAGCATTTATGGACTCGTAATGCAAATGAGAAGTCAATGTTATATAAGCTCTGAGTTGAGCCCTATTTTTAATGAGAAACAAATTTCAATCTAAAAGACTTAAATTTACCGCAACTATTGATTTATAAACAATAGCATCACAACACACACACACATAACACACATACTCTCTCTCTCTCTCTCTCTCTCTCTCTCTCTCTCTCTCTCTCTCTCTCTCTCTCTCTCTCTCTCTCTCTCTCTCTCTCTCTCTCTCTCTCTCTCTGACTAAAATGCTATTCTCTTTTTTTAGAATTTCCTTATTTTCAATACTATTTAAATACAATATTATAGAAGAATATGTAAATAAATGCAGTTTTTATTTAACATTAATTAACAATTGATTTATAAAAGAAGCGGAACATAGTTTCGGATTTTTCTATTAAACAACATATATATAAATTTACTTCACTTTTAAAGATAAAACCCTTTTTTCTTTTAAGTCTTTCATTATTTAATATTATTTTAGCGTAAAATCAATTCAATAATTTTATGAATGACTTGTTTTAATATGAAATCATTTGTTTTGTAAGGGAAAAGTCATCGCCAGAAAATTCAAGTTTATGTTAGTGTATAAACATTTTTTCATTGTTATAATACTGTATTTTGTAAGAAACAAATATAATAAATATATTTATATTATATTTTCAAAAAAGTCTTTCTTAAAAATATTATGCAATTACAATTTATATATATATATATATGCTTTATATGATAAATTTTTATCATTATATATCATATTAAGTAAGAATTAACATTAAAATCATACTGTATTTATTAATCATATGACTAGTGTTAAGCATTTACTAATTGATTATTAAGCACTGAATTGATTGCAATGACATACCGGCCCTCACTTGGATATAACGACTTCTTATAGTACCGACTGAATTGGTGGCAACGCATTGGTAGACATTTGAGTGAATGTCTTGTCGGTAATCTTCAGCTCTAAAGGGCGGGAATACCAGAGAATTATCGTGTCTTATGTGACGAATACCTATGATATGTAAGGAAAGGCATGAGAGAGATGTATCGCATTATAACAGATAACGAGCTTTAATGATATAAAAACAAATGTCAGCACAAATTACAGGCTATTTATTACAATATAAATGTGTTTATTTCAGTTAACAATACTTTTTGTGTCTTTATTAGTACAGGTGTTGTAATATTTTAGTCAATTTTTATACATTAATTTGTTATAAAATATTTTACTGACTTTACAATAAAAATGCTAATATAAACAAAAATATTTTAAATAATGTAATAATTAGCTAATAAAATAAAAATTCTCAAAATATACTCTTTAACTATTGATGTTATAAAATATACAGTAATTTCATCAATAAAATCAAATTGTTGGTTATTTTAAAACTCTAGAAAATATAGTTTATTATACACTTTACGGTTAAAGATATTACAATGAAATAGTTTTAGATTTTATTATAGTTATAAAAAAGTAATAAAATTTGTCATAGAATTTATTTATATTCTTTGAAATCATTATTAATTGTTATGAAAACTTTAAAACTTAATATCTATAAGTTATTATAATAGCTAACAAAAAAAATTTGTTCAAAAAAAATAAATAACAATCATTGCATTATATCTAGAAAACGCTTACTCTATTTCCCTTTATATTTGTTTAATTAATTAATAAATATATTTATATTTCTTATTTTCTAAAAAATAATATAAAAATCTGATTAATTTATATTAAATATATTTTTTAAATTATTTCTATATAATAATAATTTTATTTGTTATCATTTTAATAATTTATTTAATAAGATAATCATTTTTCTATTCCATTAAATTTTATAATAGACATCTAAATTTAGATCATTAGTATTTGTTAATTTTTTGAGACATTCAATACAGATATTACATTATCATAACTAAAGTACACTATAAGCATAATAATGTATTGTATTAAAACTATAATGAAATTACACATTAAGGCTATAGCAATAATATATGAAATAAATTTCAATCAATACATTACCGGGTATTTCATTGACGACAATCCCGTCTTTAGTCTCCCATTTAATGGTTGGCATCGGATTTCCATTAGCCGTACAGTAGAGAACAGCTCCGGTACTAATCAGATCATATAATAGGCAACAAATTTTATTTAATTATAATTCGCAATTTATAACTAATAGTAATGTAATGTCTATTACTTTATCAATACAATAAATTATTGTATAATAATGATAGTAATAACATAAATATATAAAAAAATGTAATATGTTTTCATTTGTTTTTCTCTTTTATAATTAATTGCTATTCCAATAATATACTGAATATTTGTATGTAATGCTAACTCATGTACTCATATCATAGTCATAATGTCTCTATACGTTAGTTATAATTGTATGCAAAAGTAATAACAGATGAGGAGGTGGGACAGTGTCATCATATATATAGATATATATAATATACATAAATATGACTATATTAATGGAATGGGAGATGACATACCTGTTCGAGAAGTCAATTGTATGGTTGGGTTCACGAGTAAAATAAGGTCCATGTCTTTCAATGGCTATCACTATATAAAAAATATAATAAATTACATGTTATTATTTAATATATAAAATAATTATTAGTTTTATGTCTGATATAGCGCATTGTAAATGCAAAAATGTAAAAATACAGTATAAATATGTAGAGTAAAAATATGATAACTATTTTATTTTGCTTATATATATATATATATATTAACTCATATTTATAAATAATAATCGCTGGGAGGCAATGACTTTATAGCCGTGCAAAAAGCGCAATGTGTTTAATACAAGTTAATTCATTGTGTTTTTATTTTTAGTGAGATCTCATTGTAAGCTAAACTATTAAATAAATCACATGTTGTGTTGTGTTTCGCTTTTATTTTTATATAGTGTTTCATTTTAGTCTATCACTCACTTCTCATATTATAGCAAATTAATGCCGAGATTAATGTTTTTCATAGCATTGTAGTAATACTGTGTGTAAAAAATTGTGACAAAACATTAATTTGTTTGGTATTCCCGCAGAGATTATGAGGCTTTTACTTAACGTATAGTATAATCAATGAAAAGTGATGAGAGAAATATATATATATATATATATATATATATATAGTATTTATAACTTATAAGTTGGATATACAGTGAAAAGGGATTGAGCACTGGTAGACAAAAACATTGGTAAAGATAGATAAAGAGATAGATAGAGGGAGGAAGGGAGTGAGAGTGAGTGAGTGAGTGAGTGAGTGAGTGAGTGAGTGAGTGAGTGAGTGAGTGAGTGAGTGAGTGAGTGAGTGAGAGAGAGAGAGAGAGAGAGAGAGAGAGAGAGAGAGAGAGAGAGAGAGAGAGARAGAAAGAGAGAGAAAGAGAGAGAAAGAGAGAGAAGGAGAGAGAAGGAGAGAGAGAGAGGTGGTTTAGTGTCTCAACGATGCCATATAATGTATACTATATTATATTACATATATTACAGAAAACAATTTCTTGATATTTTTGTTTTGCAAATATATTTTTTGTTAATACTTCACAATTCACTACTGATTTCAATGACAGTGAATGAGCTGTCCGTCCCCTTAAACCAATCGATCACTCAGTGATTCGCCAATTGTTGGCAATAGAGTATAACAAACACAAACACACATATAGTAAATACAGATCTAAATGTTATAATAACATATAACTTATACTCTTAGTTATAAAAATATTTCATTTTTAGTAGACTTACAATTTAGTTATGTATACGGTTTGCACTGAATCTAACTTCAATTGATTTACTTTTAAAATCTAATTTAATTTTAATGTCTTTTTATTAAATAATAGACTAATATTTTTATAAATTGATTTCGAGAATATGTAGATCTTATTTTAATAATTTTTTTATTATATTGTGTTTTATGAAAATAATGTAATAAATTAAACAATAGCCTTACGATTAATATTAACAATGAAATTTAATTAATAATAAAGTAAACCTAAAATTGTTTTTTTATAAATATTAATTTTAAATATAAAATATTTTTTTAAACGTCGTTTAACTTAAAATTCGTGATATAATTTATAATATATTAAATGGTGAATATGAATGGTTAGATTTACTATCCACTGTATATACTAGAATTCATTGATGACATTATAGCTAAAAAACATTTTTACCATTACATTACATTTTGCTTACCGATCAATAGAAAGCCATTTATTTATTTTTTGTTGAAAGTAAAGAATTTACTGTTTATTTATATTACTATTATTTATAAATAAAAATTCTGTTATGAAATAAAAATAAATAATTTTAATAATATTTCTTATAACATTAAAATCATAATTCTCATTATTGGTATTTTAAATGAAAATTCAATATTTATGTTATATATTTTATATTATTATTTTTATATAAAATATCAATAAATTATTACAGACTAATTTGTTATTTACAGTTTTTGTAGTAAGTTATAGTTTTAATATTTAGTATTTTTTATACAATAAATGAATTTATGATAAAATTAAAAAACACTTATAATTATATATATATATATAACTTACAAAAAAAACTAATAAATTGTTCACAAATATACGTAAAATCTATAAAAATTAATTTCTTTTATTTTAACTGAAATGACAAATATATCTTTATTAAAATTAATTATTTTCACTTATACTTAACTAATTTATATTATAATTAAATTTTCTATTTAACAATTATAATAAAAATTAACATCCTGATTTTATTAATTATAGTTGTAATCATGTTAAATTGTTGTAAATTTAATGCTCATTTATATTTTAATATATAATATTAAAATCCCGTAATTTATTTAATAATTTATTTATACTGTGACTAAAATTAAAATAAAATGTATTATATATATATATATATATATATAAAATGAAAATAACAATTATCATCAACATAATCACAAATACTTTCATACTATATATTCATTATAATTATAGTTGTAATAATAATTATTGTTACATAAATATCAACTGAATTATAATTTGCAAAAATAAAAACAAAAAAATGGCTGCAAAAGCACTTAAATAAATGGAAATATATTATATGTATATATATATATATATATATATATATACAGATAGTTATATAATATATAAAATATTCAGTGTATATCACATGAGAAATAATAAAAAGTTATATCAAGTTATGGATGCACTCGAGTTAAAGAGTTTGGGCACACAATTGTGTCATACATATAACGATACAGTGTTTTCAATTCATGTTATAATATGTGAAGTGTTTGACATAAGAGATGAGATGAATATTAGGAAAGAGAAAAAACTTGAAAATATGTGTATAAACAGAGAAAAAAGGCAAACAATATTCCTATTGTTTAATACATATATTTTTTATAAGTCTTCAAAATTGTGTGTATAAATAGGCATAACGTATGAAAATTCGTTTTACTATTGAATATGAAATTTCAAATGTAGATAATATAGTTGACAGGAATAGTCAACTAATCAAATTTGTTATATAAATATATACACACAGTATATACGGTATATTTGTGTAAATATATAAACGAGACTTATGAATAAAAACATAACAAAAATGGACACAAATTTTTCATATTAACATATTATAATATTTTCAGTGGGATATAAAAGATATACTGTATTATAACCCTAAATAAATATATAAATTTATATTAATAATGTTTTGTATAATGTAATGGCAAGAGTAGACCTTTCCCTGATTATCAACAATAAAATTGGTGTTTCATATGGTGTGTGTGTGTGTGTGTGTGTGTGTGTGTGTGTGTGTGTGTGTGTGTGTGTGTGTGTGTGTGTGTGTGTGTGTGTGTGTGTGTGTGTGTGTGTGTGTGTGTGTGTGTGTGACTCTATGTGAATGTAGACAATATTTAATAAATGAGACCTTAAATTAAGAGGCATTTATTTCAATGAACGGCAGAGACGGGAGTCAACATATATATATATATATAGAATATATATATTGTATATAAATTTTTATATATAAAGAAAAATGAGATAAACGAGTCAAAACACATATAACAAAAAGTTAATAAAAACTTAGTTGAAGTTAAATACAGAAAACGAGAAAAAAAGTGAAGCAAATATTTGATTTGTAAGAGTCTATCGTTTTATTATATATATATTGAATAGTCTTTTCAATAGTCAAGTGTCTCACTATTTATAAGTTATATTTTCTGTAAGAGTTTTGTGTGTTTGACTTTCAATTTAGATGGACAGTCAAAAAACATCGTTTAGTTTATGGGAAATAACATACATAAGTATCAACACATACAAACTTATGATATATACTAATATATTTAATATATAAAATATATCTCATTTATGTCAATGACTCAATCATTGTCTCTTTTTTGAGGCAAACAATAAATATAATTTTTGGTCAGTTAAAGAAAAAAACAACAAATATATTCAATTAATAATATAAGAGACAGATATAGTTTGAGTCACAAAACTTCTTAAAATATTATTAATTGTTTGTCAGTGTCGGTGAACACGACGTGAACTACAAATTAATGTCATTAGTCGACAAACATTACAATAAATAACATAAAAACTTTGTATTTTAATTAAAATCTTTATTGTTTTTATAATATATATTTGTTGCTCACTATTATCATGAATGTACACATTGTGTGAATAATTTAATTTATTCATTCATTACTCTGATAATAATAATAATAATAATAACAGTAATGTTTGTCATTTCAACATTCATAATATTATGTATATATAAAAACAAGAAACCAATTTTAGGGGCTTTTGGTTATATTATGCGATGATTATGCTGTACTACAGTATGTCTCACTTTATTCATATTGCAAAACAATAGTAACACAATGGATGGCAACATTTTTTTTGTTTTTTCTTATTTCTGTTTATACTGTATTTCCCTTATGTAAAGACACGTTTGTTAGACAAAATGAAAGGCAATGAGATATATATAAATATATATACAAATAGAGAATATAAGAGAAAACTCAGAGATAAACAAACACCAAAATATTGTGTGTTTGTGTAACTTATTCTCTCTTTTTCTTTGTTTAAACAGAATAATTACTCGTAAAACTAAAGAAATCAAATGTATAATATATATAACAATATATCAATTTAATACATATTATAAAGAAAACTTTTTAAGACATTAATATACGGTATATTATATTAAAGTGTATATAACAGTAATATACTTATTAATAGAAAAGTGAATAAAGAAAAATCAATAAATAAAAAAGTAGTTGACATGAATTTGCCATTAACTATAAGTTTTAGCTATGACTCCATCATCACTACTAACAACAACAACACCACCAAACTATATGATACCACCCGTGCTATCCCTTCTAAACTACTGTACTGTATATTCAACTTCAAGACTAAAAGCATTTCACTCATAGTGTGAATGGTGTGAGAAAATGAAGACAACATTTTTATGATTTAGATTTTACTCAACAAACCTATCTTTTTATAACTATGTATTAACACATATATTATTTTATACATCATATACATCATAGAAGGCTATGGTGTATATACTTAG